TTAGTAGTACAGATGAAGTTGAAAGGTGCGGCCGCAACGTGGTATAATACCAACAAGATGTTTTTAAGGAGTCTAGATGCCGTGCTCAAAGAGATGACTGCAATATTTGCACGTAGTGACAATCTTCTGGTTACGCGACGCCGTTTCGAAAAACGCAGCTGGTGTTATGAGGAATCGTTTGCTAACTATTTCAATGAGAAGTGTTTGCTAAGCAGCGGTTTGAACCTGGTCGACACGGAGCTAGTCGAATATATAATCGACGGTATCCCAGATAAGCAGCTACAGGTCCAGGCGAAACTGCAAAATTTCCCAACAGCCAGCAGCTTGGTGAAGGCGTTTCGTACAATTGAGTTGCCGCAACGTTCATCTCCAAGGCCCAGCGAGGACAGAGTCAGGTGTTACAACTGCAACAGTTACGGCCATTTGTCGAGAGAGTGCAGAAAAGCAAAGCGCGAATTAGGTACCTGTTTTGCTTGCGGAGAAAAGGGCCACTACGCTTCAAGATGCAGTAAATACAAGAAGAGTCCACCGGCGAATAATTTCGTAAGTTATTTTAATATTAGTATATTAGCTGAACCTAACATTAATATGGTTGTAGAATGCCTAGTCGATTCCGGGAGCCCCATAAGCTTGATCAGGGAATGCTTAGTGCCGGGAAGAGTTAAATTGCAGGAAGAGAAATGTATTTACTATGGATTAAATATGTCTGAATTAAAAATTGTTGGTAAAACCAAGTGTAAAATTGAAGTTCTTAATAAACACGTTTTGATTGAACTTATGGTGGTCCCTAATGAATCGGTTGGCTGTTCAGTTGTGTTAGGTCGAAATTTTATTACGGCTAGTAATGCTAAACTAAAAATTGGTTCGGTAGAATTTATGAGTCAAAGTGAAAATACTGGTGTGGAAAATTATTGCGAAGGTTATGTTGAAAATGTAAAGGAAAATGATAACGTACACAAAGAAATAGATACGGCTATAAGAGAGATTCTGACAATTGAGGTGCAGGACGCAAACAAAGTTGAGTATGTGATAGGACACGAAGTTAGTGCTAGTAATAAAAAACGTTTCGAAGATATGTTTTACAAAGAGTATATACAGGCAGTTAAACCAGAAGTGCCCGCGGTTAAAAAAAGAGATTCGCCTAGTTTTAGAAAACAATAAACCATTTTACTG